TCAGTGGTAGAGTGCTTGCCTTGCATGCATGAGGCCCTGGGTTCGATTCCTCAGCACCACATAAGCAAAAAGAAAAAAGCCGGAAGTGGCGCTGTGGCTCTAGTGGTAGAGCGCTTGCCTTGAGCTGAAGGACAGAGTTCAGGCCCCACGACCCGACCGCAAAAAAAACAAAAACATAAAAGATGCCACAAAGCTGGGTACAGTGGCACATGCTTGTAACCCTAGCTACTTTGGGAGGTTGACATCTAAAGATCACAAATAGAAATCAGCCCAGGTAGGAAAGTCAGTGAGACTCCTAATTCCAACTGACCACCAAAAAGGCAAAATTAGAGCCAGCCTTTAGAAAAATAGCTATAGAAGAATGCCCAAGCCCTGAGTTCTAGTCCAATTATGGCACCAAAATAATAATGATGATGATGATGATAATGATTTAAAATAATAAAATTAAAAGCTCATCAGTATCTTTGAATAAAGTTTCAGGAGGAAAGATACCAAGCATCCAGCTAGGCGCTAGTGGCTCACGCTTGTAATCCTAGCTACTCAGGAGGCTGAGATCTGAGGATTGTGGTTCAAAGGCAGCCTGGGCAAGAAACTCCACGAGACTCATATCCAGAAAACTGAAAGTGGCACTGTGGCTCAAGTGGTAGAGCGTTTGCCTTGAGCTGAAGAGCTGAGGGGCAGTGCCCAAGCCCAGAGTTCAAGCCCCACAACCGACAAAAAAAAAGATACCAAGCGTCCATAACCATCCTTTCCCTCATTTGATCAGTGCAAGCAAATTGACTTTAAAGAATACAAAACAACAACAAAGAAAGCAATAAGTAAGATTGTTTATTCTTTTTTCCTTTTCTTTTTTTCAGTGGTGGGCCTTGAACTCTGGGCCTGGGCACTGTCCCTCAGCTCTTCAGCTCAAGGCTGGCATTCTACCACTTGAGCCACAGCGCCACTTCCAGTTTTCTGGTTGTTTACTGGAGATAAGAATCTCATAAACTTTCCTGCCTGGGCTGCCTTTGAACCATGATCCTCAGATCTCAGCCTCCTGCGTAGCTAGGATAACAGGTGTGAGCCACTGGTGGCCTGGCTTAAGATTGACTATTCTTAATATAAACCAATGGTTATCTCTGATGCTGGGTGCGTTGCTTTCCATGAGGAGGCCCCACTCCACTCTTCCTGTATCTCCTATATTTCTTACTCTTTTCTAATCAGTTTAGAACATTACAACTGCTAGCCCAAAGTAAGAAATGTTTCAATCAGGCTCTTTCAGTTCACACTTAGATACTCTGGGGGGGAGGGAGGGCACGGGCAGATGGAATGTATAACTATATTCTCGGAGGAACTGTGGGTATCCAAGTGCAGCTATGCAGATGCCAAGAGTTCAAGAGAATCCTCAAATAAATCTTTTAATCCAGATGGAGAAAAAATTCAAAAATCAAGTTGACAAACCAATCAATAATATGCTTTGTTTTTCTGATACCAAAAAAGAAGGAGAAGGAGAAAAAGGAAGAGAAGGAGGAGAAGGAGGAGGAGGAGGAGGAGGAGAAGAGGAAGGGGGCTAGGGAAAGAGGCAAGGAGAAGTTAGAGGGAGATAGAGGGAGAGAAAAATGAAGGGAGAAAGAAGAAAGGAATGGAGAAAGAAAAAAAGGAAGGAAGGGAGGGAGGGAAGGAGACAAGTCTTGCTCTCCAAAGAGTAAGGGTGAAGATGCAGGGTCAGGGGAGCCTGTGACTCATGCCCTCCACATAACAGCCCCTGGACAGCAAGAGTCAAGACTCAGATATGAATGACGCCCACACGTCCAGCAACTGAATTCAGCAACAAGAGGGACATGGTCGTCACAGGCAGGAAAAAGACAAAGACAAAGAGTAATGTAGATACCCACTTTTACTTCCAACGAATGTTCTTTCCTCTCATGGAACATTCGTTCCTCCACCTCTGGAGGCCTTCTTGAAAAAGAAACACTACATAGGGCCAGCACCTCAGGGGGGAAAAAAAAGTGTGACCCTCCAATTCCTAGGCAGGTGGCAACGTCCGGGTGAGGCTCCAACACAAACACCATCCTCCGAGGACACAGCAAACTAAGCCTGGCGAACCTCACGTTCAACACCAGGACACTGCAAACGACATCTTCATAAAATAAGAGGAGATCAAATTCAGTCCATACAAACATACCTTCAAGTTTTTTTTCTTCATGTTGTTCCCTATCATTTTTAGGGTCACTTGGCCAGTGAGCAAGGTGTCACCTTGGACCAGTCATGCTCCTTAAAGCACTAATTCCCCCAGGGCATGGTGGCTTATGCCGGTAATCCTAGCAATCCAGGAAGCTGAAATCTGAGAATGGAAGTTTGAAGATGGGGGGGGGGGAGGCCTCGGCAGGAAAATAAGACTCCTATTACCAAGTAACCACCAAAAAGCCATAAGTGGGGCTGTGGCTCAAGTGGAAGAGTGCTAGCCTTGAGTATTAAAGCTCAGGACAAGCCAGGTGCTGGTGCTGAGGCCTGACATCCCAGCCACCCAGAGACTGAGCTCTGAGGATCACAGTACAAAGTCAGCCCAGCAGCAAAGTCCATGAGATTCTCATCTCCAATTAACTACCAGAAAACTGGAGGTGGTGCTGTGGCTCAAGTGGTAGAGCACTTTCCTTGAGCTGAAGAGCTCAGGGACAGGGGCCCAGGCCCAGAGTTCAAGCCCCATCACCAATAAAAAATAAAAGCTCAGTGCCAGGCAACAGTGGCTCATGCCTGTAATCCTAGCTACTCAAGAGGCTGAGATCTGAGGATCAGAGTTCAAAGCCAGCCCGGGCAGGAAAGGCCGTGAGACTCTTATCTCTAATAAACCACTAGAAAACTGGAAGTGGTGCTGTGGCTCAAATGGTAAAGCAGTTGCCTTGAGCTGAAGAGTGCAGGGACAGCACCCAAGCCCACAACTGACAAAAAATAAATAAAAATAAATAAAAGCTCAAGACAGGGCCCAGGCCCTGAGTTCAAACCCAAAGACGAGCACACAGATACTGTTGAATCAAGAAGTCTACACTGTGTTACGTTTACAAAACTTGATCACACACCATGTAAGTTTAGCCAGGCATGCTGGTGCATGTCTGTAATCCTAGGGGCTTGGGAGTCTCAGAATTTAGGATGGAGGTTCATAGCCATCCAGGCAGAAAGTTCATGAGACTCTTATCTCCAATTAACCAACAAATAGGCCAGAAGCAGAGCGGTGGCTCAAGGGATAAGCATTTCAGCCTTGAATTGAAAAAAGCCAAGTGAGACAGCAAGATCCTGAGTTCAAGCCTCAGTAAAGGAAGAAAGAAAAGAGAAACTTACACTGTGTTACCTTTCCAGGTCTTGTTCACACTCAAGAGTAACTTTAACTCATAAACACACGCACACCTGATCACAAATATCAACCACAGAACTTGAAGGACCTCATTAGCTTGGCTTCTAGAATGAAAATTCCTCACATTTATGCGAAAACCATCATGTCCACCGGAGGGGAAGAGCGGGCTTCGCCCAATAGCTGTCATGTTGCTAGAGTATTCTCCTCCTTTTAATCTAAACAAACCCCAGGTTTTTCCTAAGAGGACAGACTCAGATTATAACCTTGACCTTTTCAAGGACTCTTGGTTTTAATACCTGCTACTCCTACCTACCAGACAGAAAAAGCCTGAGAATATTTATTGTCAACACTGAGGTAGGAACAAAGAGAACTCCCCCCCCCCCCCCACACACACCCTTTAAGGCACCCTCTGCAGCCAAAGCTTGAGAAAGTCAAACAGGCCCTTTGGGGACGGGGGTGAATTTAGGAAGCCTGAGCATTTTTCAGGGGTCCCCTAGTCACTGTTGAACCTTCTGCCTGCCTATCCGAGCCGTGCGGGGGAGGGCACCCCCAAACCACCAGAATAAGCATGTCTGCAGGCGGGACTCAGGAGCCAGAGTTGTTTTTGGGTTTGTTTTTTTTTTTCAGCTCTCCAGATGTGCAGCCCGGTTGGGCGCCAGTAAAGGGGCTTCCCCAGAAAAGTATCCTCAACGTCGGGGGGGGGGGTGCGGGGAGGAAGGAAACTTCAGGGTGAAGTGAGTACACCCGTGGTACTCACACCAAGTTTTCAAACTTGAGTGTAACTCACTCCAACTCGACAGCCAAGCACCTGTCCGGAGGCCAAACCGTGATGAGAAGTGGGAAGCGCCCGTGCAAGGGAAGGGAAGGGAATGGGCTCCGAGCACAGGCGCGTGGGCGCGCACGCCGGGCACCCAGAAGGAGTGGACCCCCAAGTCATTCCCCTCCCAGGGACGATCGGAACCGGCATGCGGAGGAAGTGAAGTCCCGCTGGGCAGGAGAGGGACCTCGGCGCTCCCAGCTGTCACTGGAGCCCGCAGGCGCCTCACCGTCCAGCTCAGATCCGCGGCGGCGGCGGGCACCGAGGAGGGCGCGCGCGCGGAGAACGCGCACCCGAGATCCCCGCGGTCCCTGGGTCCCCCAGTCCTCCCCACTTCCCGCGCAGGAGGCTCCCCAACGCCCGCTCCAAGCTTACTTACCCCCCGCCAGCCCCCTCCTGGGTCCCGGTCCTTCTGCCACCCGGAGAGCCCGGCCTGAAAGCAGGCACCGCGGCGCCGCCCGCCCCGCCGCGGCCGGGAGCCGCCCGCCCGGCCCCCACAGCCAGAGGAGGGGGAGAGGGGCGGGACGGCCCAGCGCCCCGGGACTGCAGCCCAGCCCCCGGAGTCAGCACCGTGCTCCCCACCCCGCCCTGGTGTGTCCCCAGCGCCTCTGCCCGGCCAGCACCCCGTCCCCACCCCATCTCCAGCCCCACACTCACCCTGCCACCCCTTTGTCCTCGCCCTTCCCAGGATCGATCGGAATGGCCTACCACCTCCCCTCAACGCTCACCAGGGACGTTTCCTCTTCCAGACCTGGCCTCTCCTCTCCAGGAAGCCTTCTGAATTCCACGTCCCCCTCCCCAGCCCCAGCCCCTCCCCTCAGGCCCAAGCCCATTTACCCCCAAACTAAGCCGAAAGCTCTTGTCTCCTGCCAAACTGGACCTGTACTCTTTTCTGAACACCTGCTGTGTGTGTGTGTGTGCTCTGTGTGTGTGTGTGCTCTGTGTGTGTGTGTGCTCTGTGTGTGTGCTCTGTGTGTCTGTCTGTCTGTCTGATGTAAGGTCACCGGCAGGGGTTCAAAGACCAGTTTTCAGTAGTCCTAGCTCAGACTCCTTCTGGAGGAAACTGCCATGCCACTGACTAGCTGAACAAAAGGAAAAATGATGTCATTTTAGGGCCTCAGTTTTCCTCCGCTGTCAGTGAGCACAGGATGCCCCCTCCAGTGGGTCATACCCCATTAGGAAGTGGCCTGTCTGACTAAGCCAATCTTTGTAACATTTTGAGTAAAATCAGCACTTGAAAATGCAACCCTTCAAATAGCAACATCAAAACTCCCAGTAACTCCTCCAAGAAACACCAGAGGACAAAATGCCACTGAAGGATCCTTTGGTTTTTAATCCAGTCTAAGTCTTGTCTCCTTCCAAAGCTGTTACTAAAGCTGCAAGCTATCTTACTTTTTGCCAATGGTTACAATTTTCCAGGGGAGAAATTTTCAGGAGGAAGAACAGACCAACTTTTCTGTTCAAAAAATTCCAGGTTTTAGCCAGGTGCTGGTGGAGGCTCATACTAGCTATTCAGGAGGCTGAGATGTTTTGTCCCTATCAGACTTATCTCTAATTAACCACTCAAAAACCAGAAATGAAGCTGTGCCTCAAAGTGGTAAAGCACTAGCCTAGAGCAAAAAGAGCTCAAGGACAGCGCCCAAGCCCTGAGTTGACAAAATAAACAAAAATTCTAGATTGTAACAGAAAATACATGGTATAAAAATATTAGCTGGGTGGACTGGGAATGTGGCTTAGTGGTAGAGTGCTTGCCTAGCATACATGAAGCCCTGGGTTCAATTCCTCAGCATTAAACAGGAGCCGGAAGTGGTACTGTGTGGACGGTGATTCACACTTGTAAGCCTGCTTACTTAGGAGGCCCAGAGATGTGAGGACTGCAATTTGAAGCTAACCAGAGCAGAAAGTCCATTAAGACTCTAATCTCCAATAAACTATTCAGAAAAAGCCAGAAGTGGTACTGTGGCTCAAGTGGTACAGCTCTAGCCTTGAGCAAAAGAAGCTTAGGGACAGCACCCAGGCCCTAAGTTCAAGCTCCCCCCGTGAACTTCTTGAGAATGATGCTTCCTGCTCCCTTCCCCCAGCATGGCCCACTTATGCTCACAGGGCTACAGGACTTTTCCAGGGCTCCAGAGAAGACTGTCCTGGGTGCCTTACCCCCTATTCCCTGGCTCCATGCCCCACTCCACATACACTCCCATCCTGAGAGTTCTCTTTGGGGCAGAAGTGCTTGCTAGAGTGGGAAGAACCGTGAAAACACAGCACACAGATCTGAGTTTGCCTGGAGCTGCCTGGGCACCTAGGGCTTGTCCACTTCCAGCTCCTGACACCATCTCCCTCACCCTAAGCAGGCATAGAGGAGCAATGCTCACAAGGCACTGCTTTCCCATGAAGAGCTCCTCCAAAACCCCGGAGGTCACATTTCCAGCCAGGTCCAACAACATGTCTGTCCTCCAGGGAGACCAGCCGTGTCCTTTCTACAGGTCTGGCTTAGAACTGGGCTGCAGGGAATTCAAGGGCAGCCTAGGCAAGACTTGGCAAGCAGGCAGGCAGGGAGGAAGGAGGGTGAGAGGTAGAGAAGTCCTCAGTCGCAAATTTTTTTTAAGTATTTGTTCCTACAAGTAGTACTAGAAGGGGTTGGGAATGTGGCTTAGCAGTAGAGTGCTTGCCTAGCTTGCATGAAGCCCTGGGTTCGATTCCTCAGTACCACATACACAGAAAAAGCTGGAAGTGACACTGTGGCTCAAGTAGTAAAGTGTTACCCTCAAGAAAAGCAGTTCAGGGACAGTACCCAAGCCCTGAGTTCAAGCCCCAGGACTGGCAAAAAAAAAAGTACTAGAAGCCAAGCATCAGTGGCTCACATCTGTCATCTTAGCTACACAAGAGGCTGAGATGTGAGGATTGCCATTTGAAGCCAGCCCAGGCAGGAAACTTTATATAGGAGACTCTTATCTCCAAGCAACCATGAAAAAGCCAGAAGTATGTGACTAAAGTGGCAGAGCACTAGCCTTGAGTCAAAAAGCTCAGGGACAGCACCTAGGACGTGAGTTCAAGTCTCAGGAGCAGCACACACATGCATATGTAAGCACATGTACATGCACGCACACACACACACACATACACACACGTGCACACACACACACATACACAGCCAGGCACTGGTGGTTCCCACCTATAATCCTAAGCTACTCAGGAGGCTGAAATCTGAGGATCGTGGTTCAAAGCAGGAAAATCCATAAGACTCTTATCTCCAATACACCACCAGAAAACTGAAGTGGCTCAAAGTGGGAAATCACTAGCCTTGACCCAAAAAGCTCAGGACAGCACCCAAGCTCTGAATTCAAGCCTCATGAGAGGAAGAGGAGGAGGAACAAGAGGAGGAGGAGGAATAGGAGGAGAAGAAGGAGAGGAGGAGGAGGAGAAGGGACTTCACACATCAAACCATGCTATTAAGCTTCTGCTGGAAGTTCCAGAATCCCTTGAGCATACAAACTAGCCAAGTCCTCTTTCTGCCTACAAAATACAACCCCCTTGCTGGGCTCTGGTGGCTCACACCTGTAATTCTAGCTACTCAGGAGGCTGAGATCTGAGGATCCCAGTTCAAAGCCAGTCCAGACAGGAAAAATTGGTGACTCTTATATCCAATAAACCATCAGAAAACGGGAAGTGGCACTGTAACTCACGTGGTAGAGCTCTCACCTTGAGCTGAAGAGCTGAGGGACAGCACCCAGGCCTAGAGTTCAAACCCCAAGACTGACAAAATAAAAAAAAAACCTTGGCAAAGTGCAGAGAGACCCACAGAATCTGGCCCAGATCCATAGATAGATAGCGCCATGCCCAGACAGGCCCCTGCTAAACCTGGGCCTGCTGCCGAGAGTTCCCATCAACTGAAACGCCCCTCTCTTGTGCTCTGCTCTCTTTATTTTTTTTTATTTTGGGTCTGGTCATGGGGCCTGAACTCTGAGCCTGGGCGCTGTCCCTCAGCTCTTCAGCTCAAGGCTAGCGCTCTACCACTTGAGCCACAGCACCACTTCTGGCTTTTTTCTTTTTGCGTATGTGGTGCTGAGGAATCGAACCCAGGGCCTCATGCAGGCAAGGCAAGCGCTCTACCACTGAGTCATCTTCCCAGCCCATGCTCTGCTCTGCTCTCCTTAAAGCTTTAGCTTAAGTCCTCTTTTAGAGGAACCCTTCCCTTCTCTCTTTTCCCTTGAGGGAGGTTCTATCACAGCCCTTGACTGAAGATCCCTCCAAGGGAGTGCTGAATGCCAGCCTCTGGCAGGAGCAAAGTAAATGTAACTACTGACGAACACCACACACAGAGCCAGTGATGGAATACTTCCATCATTGAGAGCAAGTTCCAAAGAACACATTCAATCGCATCAGCCCCAGGCCAACCGAATGCTAAGTGACCTTGGACTTGGGCTTGCCCGCCAGTCTTGGACTGATTAGGACCCTAAAAGCCTGAACCTCAGGGTCCGTAAGGGGAGATGATATTCATACACCCCCCTAGGGGAATAGTTAGTAATAGTAAGTAATAGTTAAAGGTCCTGCATAGCCTTTGGAAAGAACTTATGTTTTTATTTTCCAGTCAAAGGTCTTGAACTGAGAGCCTGGGCTCTGTTTCCGAGCTCTTTTGCTCAAAGCTAGGACTCTACCACTTTGAGCCAAAGCACCACTTAGTTTTCTAGTGGTTGATTGGAGAGAGTCTCACATCCTGCCTAGGCTGGCTTTGACCATTGATCCTCAGATCTTAGCGCCTCCTAAGCAGCTAGGGTTACAGGCATGAGCCACCAGCTCCTGGCAATACACTTGTATTTTTAAAAGAATAGTCAATTTCATGGGTCAGTTGGAGCCAAGTAGGGCTCAGCTACAAATTATAGAGGCTTCTACTTCTAGATGCTTGGCTACCTATCTTGGAGGCTCAAGAAATAAGAGCACGACTGTCAAGACTCAGCCAACTATTGGAAGAATGGATCTAGGAACAGGACACAATTGCACAGTCACCATTTCTCTAGCCATCTTTAAGCCTCCATCAAGACACATGTGTCGCATGTCACATGCTGGCTGTGTACAAGCACACTGGGCTATGAAGCCCTTCTCCAATGTGCTTCAGTCAAAGTTAGGACAGTTCGAATAACAAGATTTAAAAACAAATCCTTAAACCATCTTAAAAATGCTGGTCTTCTAGACCACGTTCTTCTCGGGAGCAAATTAACTATTCATTCTTTAAGTTATATTATGTGGTCAGAGATCATATCTAAACCATCATGCAGGCAAGTTTTTTCCAGACTATATTCAGACCATGCTACAACCTTAAAACGCTATTACAAATGTTTTTACGACTCTCTGGTTTTATCTAGGACTGCCAGAACCTTCTAACAAGGGACTTCGCCTTCTACAGCATTAAGAGATATCTAAAGCAAAAGTAGCAAAGTGGGACCATTTGGTGGCTAGGCCTGAGA